AATAACTAACAAAGAGTAAAATGTGCGAATCCTTTGAATGAGAGAGGAGCTCTCAATTTGTAGTAGGATAGATTAAGGCAGTCATCACTGAATCTGTGAGTTAGTGGGATTATTCATGCAAATCCTTCTTTATGTCACATTGCCCACCTTCTATAGTGATTTGCGGGATTTGGCGCAGGGATTAGACACGTGGGATCACCACAGCTCCTGGCAGGTCTGGCGCGCACCCACTATTCTGACAAAGGCAGGCTGCGGGTGAACCCATGTTCTAACTTTTGTACGCTGACTGGACCTTATGTCGGCCCTATATTTTTCGGGCATAACAGTATGTATTTTATTCTCTTCACTGATATTATGACATGTTGTGTTTGGAACAATAATAGGCTTATTAAATTGTTGATATTAATTAAGATATTGTTTTGGTAGTATAGCGTCTTTATGTGATTATTAATGTATCAATTATGCTAAGAGTAGAACATGCCTTTATAGTAATTGTTGATACAAAAATTCGCACCAACCAAGAGATCCGATTGACTTTGGTGAAATCGGAACGAATGTGGGTGTGATTACGAATAATCAGCGATGGATGAATGATAAATACAATAAAGTAAAAGACAATAAGATTTTTAAAGTGGTTCGGCGAGGTAACCTCTTATGCCTACGTCCACTGTTCTTGTATTTGCTGTGAGAGCTTACAATAAGAGTTCTATGGAAATTTTCTAATCAATTTTTCATCATTTGAGAGGGTTTATATATAAAGTTTGTACAAAGGAAAAAGCAAAATAAAGAGATCACAATTGATTTGAACTGTAACTCCGATATTCTCGCGATTGGGTGATATGATTGTGCAGAGATTGCTATTAATCTGGTTATTCTCGTAATATCTGGAATCTGAAATTATTTGGGAGTTGATTGAATGATCATTGGGGTTGTTCGCGACTAGCTTGTGTTGGGTCAAATTATATGTTGACAAGCTTATGTTAAGTCGGATAACCCGTAGAGTCGAACTGATTCTGGGTCGATCTAATATCTTTCAACTCACTGAGCTTGATTGATAAATCACACACAATAATAGTATAGCTCGTTTATGTGAGAATTAATGTAATAAAGTTTACCTTTTTTTTTTTTTTTTAATGCAGATCTTCTGTTGAGAATCTTGTGATTTAATGCAATTTTTTTTCCCAATTTGAGTGCATTGATGCTCTGGAAATTTAATAGTAAATCATAATGTGAATGAGTACTGATTCAAATTTAATTGGTGGGGGCCAAGTTTAAATCACAATCAGTGGCTTATGCTTCTCCGATTCAATGCCCCAACCTCCATTTTTTCGGCATCATATTCTTCTCCATTTTCCTTTTTTATTCCATTCGAAATATGTTCTTAGATGATGTTGCTTGGATTAGCTCAAGAAAATAATATGATTCGATCTCAAAGGATGGATCTTCTTTCACTTCAAAATAAATATGATATGCACTTTGGACTCACAATAGTCCTACCTAAGAATAGTTTCTTATCCAAGCGGGCTCAAGGGACCCTAAAAAAAATGGCTTAAAAGACCGAAATTTATTATAAACAAAAAAATTATTTCTTTAGTAATATACAAGATTGAAAATTTTGAATTTCTATTAGACATGATTATTTGGTATAAAATGTTATTTGTTGTTAATATGGTTAGTAAATATTTACAATATAAAAATATGGACATTGTTGTTGTAATAGATCAGTTGAATGGTCTTGTTTCATTTTTTTGAAAAATTTAGAGAAAATGGGTTTACATCTTCTATGATTTTGTCTAAAGAGATTGCAGAGCCAATGAATATAGAATCAAAATTTTGTGAAAAATGTATAATAAAGAGAAAAAAAAAAACAATTTGATGAGAATGAAAATGAAGAGATGAAATTGTCTGTTGAAGAATCTTATTTACGTTTAACAATGTCACAAGAAAGATTAAGTAATTTGACTATATTATCAATTAAAAAAAAATTGAAATAATTTTTTTAATATGTACTTATATTATTAGAAGACCTTTAAAGTAACTCTTATTTAAAGTCACAAATGTTCTTGATACGACACCAAAGCAACTTTTGTTTTAAGGTTGCTACTAGTGGATCCTTTTTGTATTAACCTATTCTTATATCTTAACTTGATCTAGAAGAATTATTTGAAATATGTAATTAGCATGAGGTTGCTTGGATTAGCTCAAGAAAATAATATGATTCGATCTCAAAGGATGGGTCTTCTTTCACTTTAAAATAAATATGACATGCCCTTTGGACTCACAATAGTCCCAAGGCGGGCCCCAAAAAAAGCTTAAAAGATCGAAATTTATTATAAACAAAAAAATTATTTCTTTAGTAATATATGAGATAGAAAATTTTGAATTTTTATTAGACATGATTATTTGGTATGAAATGTTATTTGTTGTTAATATGGTCAGTAAATATTTACAATATAAAAATATGGACATTGTTGTTGCAATAGATCAGTTGAAATGTCTTGTTTCATTTTTTTGAAAAATTTAGAGAAAATGGGTTTACATCTTCTATGATTATGTCCAAAGAGATTGCAGAGCAAATAAATATAGAACTAAAATTTCGTGAAAAATGTACAATAAAGAGGAAAAAAAAAATATAATTTGAAGAGAATGAAAATAAAGAGATGAAATTGTCCGCTGAAGAATCTTGTAGAATATATTATTTCACATATTTAGTTAATCATACCATTTCCTCACTTCAAAGTAGGTTTGAATAATTTGAAATATATAGTGATAATTTTGGTTTCCTTTATAATATAGAAAAATTAAAATTGCTTGATGATGATAATTTGAAAAAAAATTATTTAAATCTTGAAAACTTTTTAAACATGACATGCTCTCTAATATTAATGGTCTAAATTTATATTTAGAATTAAAATTTTTAATAGAAATTATAAACGTGGAAATTAAAACACCACTTGAGATACTAGATTTTATAAAAAAGGAGAATTCTTTTCCAAATGTATGGATAATTTATAGAATACTATTAACTATTCCTGTTACTATAGCTTCAATAGAAAGAATCAAAATTAAAGTTAAAAAAATCTTATTTGCATTCAACAATACCATAAGAAAGATTAAGTAATTTGACTATATTATCAATTAAAAAAAATTTGGTTTCTAAACTTGAATACAAAAATTTAATTAGTGATTTTGTATCCAAAAAGACAAGAAAAATAAATTTGAAATAATTTTTTTAATAAATACTTATATTATTAGAAGATTCATAAAATAACTTTTGCTTAAAGTCATAAATGTTCTTGAGACGTCACCAAAATAACTTTTGTTTAAGAGAAGACACCAAAGTAACTTTTGTTTAAGGTTTCTACTAGTGAATCCTTTTTATATTAACCTATTCTTATATCTTAACGTGATCTAGAAGAATTCTTTGAATGATGTAATTAGCATGAGGTTGCTTGGATTAGCTCAAGAAAATAATATGAATCGATCTCAAAGGATGGATTTTCTTTCACTTTAAAATAAATATGACATGCACTTTGGACTCAAAATAGTCCCAAGGCGGGCTCAAGGGGGCCTCAAAAAAAGGCATAAGAGACGGAAATTTATTATAAAAAAAAAAATTTTATTTCTTTAGTAATATATGAGATTGAAAATTTTGAATTTCTATTAGACATGATTATTTGGTATGAAATGTTATTTGTTATTAATATGGTCAGTAATATTTACAATATAAAAATATAGACATTGTTGTTGCAATAGATCAGTTGAAATGTCTTGTTTCTTTTGTTGAAAAATTTAGAGAAAATAAGTTTACATCTTCTATGATTTTGTCTAAAGAGATTGCAAAGTAAATGAATATAGAACTAAAATTTCGTGAAAAATATACAATAAAGAGAGAAAAAAAATAAAATAAAACAATTTGATGAGAATGAAAATAAAGAGATGAAATTGTTTGTTGGAGAATCTTTTAGAATATATTGTTTCACATATTTAGTTAATTATGCCATTTTCTCACTTCAAAGTAGGTTTAAATAATTTGAAATATATAGTGATAATTTTGGTTTCCTTTATAATATAAAAAAAAAAATTAAAATTGCTTGATGATGATAATTTAAAGAAAAATTGTTTAAATATTAAAAACTTTTTAAACATGACATGCTCTCTAATATTAATAGTTTAAATTTATATTAAAAATTAAAAATTTCAAAAGAAATTATAGACGTGGAAATTAAAACATCACTTGAGATACTAGATTTTATAAAAAAAGAGAACTTTTTTTCCAAATACATAGATAGCTTATAGAATACTATTAACTATTCCTGTTATTATAGTTTCAACAGAAAAAATCAAAATTGAAGTTAAAAAAATCTTATTTGTGTTCAATAATGTCACAAGAAAGATTAAGTAATTTGACTATATTATCAATTAAAAAAAATTTGGTTTCTAATCTTGAATATAAAAATTTAATTAGTGATTTTGTATTTTAAGAAAAAATAATAATAATTTTTTTAATATATGTTTATATTATTATAAGATGCTTAAAATAACTATTGTTTAAAGTTATAAATATTCTTGAGATAATGATAATAAAGTAACTTTTGTTTAAGGTTGCTACTAGTGGATCTTTTTGTATTAACTTATTCTTATATCTTAACGTGATCTAGAAGAATTCTTTGAATGATGTAATTAGCATGAGCAAAATGTGCTAAGAATATATTGATACGCAAAAGCCGAAGAATGACATGCACTTTTACTTTGGATTCACTCTCGCTTACTATAAATTCTTCATGTCTTCGGTCTTCCATTCTCAGGTCGTCGGCTTCTCTCTCCAACCGGAAATCAGTCCTCCTGGTAACCCTCTTTTATCTTATTCAGCTCATTCCTTTTCTTGTATTATCATTGGCACCACTGACTCATCACCAACTAACTCTTCATGTAGGTTTTTCTCCGTTCACTTTCATCTCCTACAATTCGTACGTACGTTTTGCTCAAATTCCGTTGCAATGTCGTCGCTTCCAAGCCTCCAAAATTCTCACTCTATATCTTACCTCTCGCAACGAGAAGCTGCCGAGATTGACGAGACTCTCATGGGCCCTTTTCGCTTTAGCGTTGATCATCTTATGGTGACTTAATTCATATTCACTGTTCATGAATTCTCCTTTACTATAGCTTGCTGAATAACTTCAATTATATGACTATAAAAATCATTCTTATTGTAATTGTAGGGATTGGCTGGTTTGAGCATCGCAACATCCATAGCTGAGGTAACTATACATTTTTATTATTATTATTATTATTATTATAGCTGATTTTGCGTTACGATGTCATGTTTACGTGGACAAATTTTTTGACAGGTTTATAAACCAAGTGAGTTTAATCGCGTTCTTGCAATTTGCGGTCCAGGGAACACAGGAGGTGATGGTTTGGTAGCTGCTCAATATTTGCATCACTTTGGATACAAACCTTTTGTTTGTTATCCAGAGCGTACGCCAGAGCCACTTTATACTGGTCTGGTTACACAGGTATGGTGTGATGGTGGAGTGGGTTAACATAGTTTGTATGGTTTCTGATTTGATGTAGTGAATTTGTAGCTTGAAACACTGTCAGTACCTCTCGTGTCAGTGGAAGATTTGCCTTTGGACTTGTCCAAGGACTATGATATTCTTGTAGATGCAATGTTCGGCTTCTCTTTTGATGGTAATTTTTCTAAGTCTCTGTTCTTATTGATGAACAAAGCATTCCTCTAAAATTAATGATACTATTAGTCTAGTGCCCTTTTATATTAAGGTTATCCACATAGATATCTGATAACAGAATATGAGAGATAGATGAGATAGGCAGGTGTGAAGATGAAAAACTATCGGTAACAAAGCATGGTAAGGTGGTTTTGAAGACTGACTTTACCTTTTAATCGAGTCCTTTTAAATAACCATAGTATTTCATTTTATGGTTACATCTCTTTCAACATTCATCTGTGCATATGCGCACACACGCATGTATATGGTATAAAATTATCTCTTAGTAACACCAGGAAAACTCAACTCTATAAAGTACAGCTACTTGAATTCCTTTAAACAGTTTACATTCAATAGAGCACAAGTTAATTGTATAGCCTGGGTTTTGATTTTACACGGCATGGGGTTTTAGTGGATCATAGCAGTATTTTTGGATGTTAATGATATGGTTTTGTGTAGTATTTTTTCCCCCAATGTTTTTCATATCTTTGTGGACAACTGATCTACTTTATTCATGGTGCAAGTTTATTAATATATCTTCTCAGTTTTGTGTAGAAAAAAAAAGAGTCAAATATGAGTACCAATATATGAATTGCATCAAATTAAGTAGGATTTAGCGGCTATATTGATTAGGGCCATGTTTCTTATCTAGAAACACCTCATATGATATTTAGTGTCATTTAACTTCAACTTGTTAAAATCCTTAAGGCACCGCGAGGCCACCTTTTGATGATCTAATTCAGAGACTGGTTCGTTTACATAGTTATGATCAAACAGTACAAAAGCACCCAGTAATTGTTTCTATAGATATTCCGTCTGGATGGCATGTTGAAGAAGGAGATACTGGTGGTGAAGGCATTAAACCCGACATGTTGGTATGTCTGCAATGAAGTCTTAGTTGATTTTCTAGCCTCAATATTTTAGAATGCAGTTAAATTTATCAGCTAGCCTCAGAAGAATGCAGTTTTAATTTATAAACTAGCCTCAGAACTTTAGAAGAATGCAGTTTTAATTTTAGGGTATACCCAGTACGTAATTGAATTTTTATTTTTCACAAGCTGTCTTATTAATGCAGCTTTTGGCGTTTTCTAGGTTTCTTTAATTGCCCCAAAGTTGTGTGCAAAGAAATTTAGTGGCCCACACCACTTTCTAAGTGGTAGATTTGTCCCTCCAGTTATTGCAGATAAATATAAGCTTCAGCTTCCACCGTACCCTGGCACTTCTACGTGTGTGCGAATTGGAAAGCCTGCCCAAATTGATATATCAACTCTGAGAGCAAATTATATATCTCCAGAGTTACTTGAGGAGCAGGTGGAATCTGATCCCATTGATCAGGTATGAGTTCAAGTGAAATAGTGGAGCATGGCACATTAGTTCAATACTTACTGCTGCCTTGAGGGTTGAGAAAAATTTTCTTAGCCATTGTTAGAATAACTTTCAAAACTACTTATCATAAGTCAATCTGTCATTTTGCAGTTTTGGAAATGGTTTCGTGTTGCAGTGGCTGCCGGCTTGAAGCTACCAAATGCTATGGCCTTGTCAACTGCTAGCAAGGACGGAAAAATGTAACTTTCTCTTCTTTCAATGGGGTTTTTTTTTTTAATCCATTAATTGTAACTCTGGTCATAGGATTAACCTAAATGAGTGAATTGACATGTTAAACACGATATCTTTATACATTCTATGATAAGAATCTCGGGCATCTATAAAGAGGATTCAATATGATAAATATGTAATTGGGACACTGGTTTCTCTGCCATGCAATAAACTAGCATGGTGCCAAGAGATGAACTAATAAACACGAAAGGGGATTATATATATAAAAACATGTGATGACAATCACAGCTTAACTTATATGTTCTCGACATGCTATATGGTTTTTATTGACCCCTTTTAATTCACTCTTCTTTACGTTATTCTTCTGCAGCTCTTCAAGAATGGTCTCAATGAAAACAGTTGATAAGAATGGTTTTGTCTGGTCAGTGATGTTCCGCTACCACATTGACTGTGCTTCACTCAGCATTTGTTCTTTTTTTCCCTCCAGTCAAATGTTTTCCCCAACCCTCTTTCTGAACTCCTTACTAAATGTAGGTATACCAATTATGAAAGTCGGAAGGCGAATGATTTATCTGAAAATCCCCGTGCAGCTCTTCTTTTCTACTGGGGAGGTCTAAATTGGCAGGTAATCCGAGTTTGGCGCATTAGTTTTGTCCTCACCGTGGTCATTAAGAAGGTTTTGAAAGAAGGGTCATTTTATTTTCACAATCCTTATGCGAGGTAGTCATTTCACTTGATGAAAAGTAGTTCATGCCTTGTTAATCGACAAACTCGATCTATCACATCAAATTCTAAAGCTTGGTATGTGAAACTGCCATGGAATAGTTTTCATGCTAAATTTAGCAATGTAGACATGTCAACCAGGAGCAAGCAATAAAATTTTTTTTGGTATAATAATATTATTGTGGACATATATGGAATATGGTGCTTGATGCCTTGACGTCTAGACAATTTAATTAGGTGCTTACAGATCATCTAAAAAAATTTACTCGAAATTGAAGGTCCGTTGCTATCAAGAACATAGTTTGGTCAATTAATGTGCTACAGAAGCATTTCATATGGACAATCTCCTTGTCTTAAGACCATTTTTAATGTTTCACTTTGATGTGCAGGTAAGAGTGGAAGGATATGTGATAAAACTTTCTGAAGAGGAATCTGAGGAGTACTTCCATAGCCGTGACCGAGGATGTCAGATCGGATCATTAGTTAGCAAACAGGTATACACTTGATCATCCATTCTGCTAGATATTAGAAAACTACATGATATGTTAGCATAAACTTAAGATATCACTTTTTGCTTCATTCAGAGTTCTGTGATTCCTGGAAGGCATGTTCTACATCAGCAGTACAAAGAATTAGAGGATAAATTCTCTGATGGGTAAGCCATTAGCTGTAAAAGTGGTTATTACTTTGCATCCAGCTTTTATTTTATATTATTCTGGACAATTATTTTCCATCAGTATGCTTCAGCTGATTCCAAGCCATGTTTTCCACTGTTACCTTTTGCAAAAAATATTTCCTGTAAACCCAGAAGCGCTATTTTTGCTTTAATTTAACATTAAAATATTCAAAACTTAAGATCAAATTAGTTGACTATATCGCAAATGGCAATCATATAAAGTTCTTCCTGGGCAAAGAAGAGAAAGAAAGAAAGTATTCCATGGGAGAAATTTCATATTAACCTTTTATTTTAATTTTTTAATTATTTATTTCCTGTAGACGTTTAATTCCAAAACCAAAACACTGGGGAGGATACAGGCTTCGACCAGAGATTTTCGAGTTTTGGCAAGCACAAACGTTTCGTTTGCATGACAGGTAGGTTTATATCATTCTCTCCTTATACTAAATAAAATATGTGTAAGAAAGAGTAGAATGGCTTTGGGCCAAAGTCTGTTCCAGATTGGATTCAATAGAATCAGTCATGTATGAACCGTAATATTAAGACCGTACTGGTGTGTTTAGCACAACGTATCGGATGAACTAGTTCCTTTAGACCATAAAACTTAAGTGGTTTTTTATGTGCTTAATTTAAAGGACTGATGCTTTATTCATTGGTAATGAATATTTTGTTGACCAGGTTGCAATATTCTCCTCAAGAAGTAAATGGAAAGCGAGTATGGATAATCAACCGCTTGGCTGCCTGACTAGTATTTCCAACTTCTTCATTATGAATTTCATCAGTCATGACAGATGAAATTTTTTTTTTTTTTTTTATAGCCATATAAGTGTAATTAAACAATAAATGATATAATGAGTGGCACAATAACATGTATTGGTGCTCTTTTCAGAGTGCTGATAATCTGTAAGATAAAACTGAATATATATATATATATATATTGAAATTCAGTGGTCATAACTACTTTGTTGATGTTCCTACAGATTATAGCTACAATAGTCACTCTAATCATTCAAATATTACTGTTGTCATTATAGGTGAATTCTAATTTCTAATTCTCTTTGTTCAGTAGGAAAGAATCAGTGATCATAAATTTCTGTTAACAGGATATGATTGCCATTATATTGGCAGTGAACTGATTAGGACCTAGTGGTTTCATACTTGCTTTGCAAATTGCCATTGTCAGTGAAGCCAAATTCCTACTGGACCTTCCTTTTATTCTTGAGTTCTCTATTCGAAAGGGAATTGTCTGGTTTTGCACAAAATTACAGATTTTCTAGATTCTTGTTCATAAAAGTTTTGACCTGAAGCTCAATTGGCTGTATGCCCATGCTACACAGACACCTTTTTTCTGTGGGCTTTTTAACAGCTGACACAATGAGTTTTTGGCAGTTGTGATGGTATGGCACTCAGGTCTTTTCCTTTAATAGCTACAAATGAATGCCGTTGTCATAATTTATGGTTTTCTGAAATCACAAAAATCTGTGTCAGTATATATATAGCAGAAAAAAAGAAAAGAGTTAGCGTCTGTTTAGTTGAGATGAAGTCGTCTGGATGGGTGTGTATCTTTCCTTTCATATTGGTGTAACTAGTTTACATTAACAACTATAAAGTTTTCTTTTTAACTCTTAAAATGTTACTTCTACTCCATATAATTTATCTTAACACTTTAAGATATTTTAATTAAATCCATTTAATTATTACTTGGCCATTTTAACCTTTAAAATATCATGAATAATTTTTATGTAAAAATTACTATAGAAAATCTGTCATTATCCTCAGAAGGTATTAGCCCTCTTCGGATAATCATTTATCTCTCTTATCATTTTCTAACTTCATAAGGCTATTGGTGTGACCATGTAAGTCCACCGTGGATTAGTTGTGAGCTGGTTCCGAATCAATCTAGAAACCTGTCAAGAGGCCCAACGACTATGATTAATATTTAGCAATATGCCATTGTCCCTAAACCACGATGAAGAAAGACTTTATTGAACCTTTTTCAAATCATATGTACCATGCAGATAAAATCCCTCCAATGATATAACCAGATCGAGCACGGATTCATGGAACATCAAGATCCTAAACTTGATTTGCTACCGAATCATCGATCAGTATGTCCAAAACTTATCATCTCGAATTTACTTTCGTGTGACTAATGATATACTTTGGCCAGAGGTTTTAGTTCTTGACATTTATCGACGTTCGTCTAGGAACCCGGATTCGGATGGAGTCAGTGGTACTCCTGATCCTATATTTTTGAGTCAATGGATCCCATTTTGGCTATCGTTCGTTTCCGCATATGAACAACTCATGAAGAAATAGGCTTTATCATATGAAACATGACTAGGTAGTCTCGTACTTATACACTATATGAACCATATGCATACGCATCCGTATCAGATCTGACCACAATGTCTTAGGTCAAAGGACTACATCACACATTGATATAACCAAATGATAAATCAATGCTTTTCCAAGTGATTTGTCGTTATTTGGTCACGTTTGAAAAATAGTTCATCAACTGCTAATCCATACTAATGCCCTAATGACATGACTCTCATCGTCCTTCGTACTTATATCAACTCATGATATCTTTCGAAAACATCTAGTATGCTTACTATGCAATATAGTTGCTCAAATAATATTGCTTTCACAGGGAACCTTTTGATAAGTCTATTTACTGATTAAATGAATTATTTGGACAATTCATATACATACTTTATTTTAAATGCATGACAGAATAAAGGAAACAGTTTATATATACGAATTAAAAAACTCTTTCTTCTATTATTTATAATATATTGATATAAGATAAAATGCTCTGAAACTGACAACATGAATGGTTTCTAGGGCATACACTAATAACAGTTGCCCAAAGTCACATGGAAGAGTAGACAGATGCCTATAGAAGAGATGTCAGCCTCTAACTAGGTCATTCTGTGTTTCTCAAACTTCAACTCTACAAGTTCAAATCACTGGCCAAGAAGTTGAATGAAAAACTTAGCCCTATGTTTTATGGCCCCTTCACTGTTATAGAAAAAAATTGGGCAAGTGGCTTATAAATTGGCACTCCCCCCTTCTACTCGTATCCACCCAGTATTCCACATCTCTCAACTAAAGAGAAGTTTGCACAACTTAGTTCCCATTTAACCATTGCCACCCTTTCTCACCAAAGACCTGGAGCTTCAGGTACAGCCAGCTGAAGTCCTCTCTATTCGTACATTGCTAGATGGTTCCAAAGAGGTGCTCATTCAATGGCAAGACCTCCCTTTCTTTGAGGCTACCTAGGAGTCCTATGATGTGACTCTCCAATAATTTCCCCTCTTCCCCTCTTACACCTTGAGGACAAGGTGGCTCTTTAGGGAGGGGGGGATTGATAGACCTTTGATCACTCACATATATTTGAAAAAAGAAAAAAGAGAAGGGCCAGTAGAGGCCAATTGAGCGTAGGGAATTAGTTAGGAATTGTTGAGTTGTTGATCCACGTGGCAGGATGTAGAGAATCTTCAGAGTGGGGACTAAAAGTGTATTTAGCTGGATAGAAACCATGTTTTAGGTAGTTGTTATTTGGGAATAGTTTTGGGAGGCCTCTAGCACCTCGAATTGCTAGAAACCATTTTCCTTTCACGTATTCTTCATTTTTGCTTTCTTTTCCTTAATTTGTCTATTGTGTGCTATATTTTCTTCTTGATCAATATAACCTCGGTTTTCTTAAACTGATTGAGCTTTGTGAGTTGCTTGGGTGTTGGATTATCATTTTGTAGCATGAAGAGAAAACAATGGTGCACATGGAAAGTGGGTGGTTTTACAGAGTTATGGTCTCCGAAGTTACATCAAAGATGCATTGGATAGTGTAGTGCATGCATGTGCCACTCTTTCTTATGATTTTCATTATGTTTCTCCTTTATAGTACTTATGCAACTATATATTTTAACAACCAATCCTATAAATATTATTTGAAAATTTTCATGTGTCTGGGCTACAATTTAAAATTGTCACCTTTACTCTCTAAAACGTATTTTGGAACCACTAGTAGGTACAAATTACTTAACCTACTCCTAAACTTCGCCTGTATCACTTCTGAGTCTATGTTTTTTTGTTTTTGTTCTTTGTTCTTTATTCTTTGTTTGTCATGTCTAACCACTAAATGACTTTGTGAAGGATCTTGATGTTAGAAAGTCAGGAGTATGAAGACCCGTAAGGCCTGAGTTTTGATACATCGACAGAGGAAGTTATGAGAAAAGCTAATTTCAGGGTCAGTATATTCATAACTTACTCTGTTCCAGTTATTTTTTACATGAGAATTTGTCTATTCTACAATTCGAAGATATCTACAAAACCTTGTTCTTATGTGGGATTTGACCCTTACTTTTGGTCCAATTGGATTTGTGTTTTTGCTCCACTGCTCTCTATATAGCTTGCTCATCTTTGTTACCTAATCAACAATAGTTTCCTTGCAACGCTTTATTTAATTCTATATAAATATCATCATTATCTGTTATATTTGCTTGTTGAGGAACATAACCTTCTCTCTATGTATTATTATATGCAGAAAGTCATATTTCTTACAAACTTTATCACAGGAGCTGGAAACATTATCAAGAGGAGTAAGGTAACGTAGAGTGGAAATTTATTGAAAGGAACTTGTTTTTGAATTTATGATCATCATGAACCTTTCTTTTAATTGCTTTTGTTGGTCATTGTGAAGACTGACATTAGTGCCAAGGCTCAGAGGAAGGTTGCAAGGGAGATCAAAATAGCCTGAGAATTTGGACTAAGGCCAATGCTATGTGCACTAACCATTTGTACTAATCCAAGTATTAACATTGAAAATTTGAAATTCTCTTAAAAAAAAAAAATTTAAATGTTCAATGTTAGTACTTAGATTAGTACAAAATGGTTAGTGCACATAGTATTATTGTTTGGACTAATGCCTTTCACAACTATGGGAAGAAAATCATTTGTGTTTGGAAAAACAATGGAGGATCTTGACGAGGATTACGAATATGAGACTTATGACTGTTGGGCCAGGGTCCCTTCTATGTGAGGTGGCCCATTCAAAGCCCAATAGAGCTTGTAGTTAATAAAAAGAAAAAGAAAAAAAAAAGAAAAAGAAAGGAAGTGTGAAAAAGTTGCCGCAGTAGACAAAGTAGAAAAAAAAAAAAAAAGAGAGTGAAGGTTTTTCATCTCTGCACAGTTTTCATCAAACATGTGATCCTGCTTCGTCTGTGGTTGGATTGAGCTCAAATTTGGAAGAAGCACTCATGACACAAGGAGCTACAATCTGAACGGTGAAGATCGGATTTTGAGTTCTGGAACTGGTGTTTTGTATCTGTGAACAGTAACCTCGGGTTTTGGTGAGATCTTTCCAACATCCCTTTTTGTTGGTCATGTTTCTACTATGATGATGATATTATTATTGTGATTGTATTTCAAGATTTGGTTGTTCTTAATGTTTGTGTTTGCTGGATGTATCTAGTAAACTAAAAGAATCAGACATTACTTGGTTGATAGCGGAGGTTTTTGAGTGGATTTCGATCCTATGGTTTTTCCCTTTGTATTGAAGGGTTTTCCATGTAAATTTTGGTGTTCTTTGTGTGATTGTTTGATGCTGAATTTTTACTTTACTTGTGTGATTATTCTCTAGTTAATTTTACACAAAATTGGATCCTTAGTTTGGCACAACAGTGGTATTAAAGCCTAGTTGGTGGTTTTGTGTGTGTATAGAGATGGATGTTAACACCAGTAAAATGATCAA